AGGGAGGGGGATAGGAAAGACAGTTAGGAGTTATTGCAGGCAAAGTTGGAAAAGAAAGAAGGAGGTAGGGAAGAAAAGAAGGTGGTTTGGAAGATGAGGAGGAGGTAAAATAAAGAAGGAAGTATACAGTAGAAGGGAAGGATATGGTAGGTGAGGTAAAAAGGAGGTAAGGAACGAAAGGGGGAGGTACGGAAATAAAGATGGAAGTAGAGAAGGGGCAAACATGGAGGTAAATGAGAAAAGGAGGTCAACAAGGAAAGAGAGAGCTGAAAATGGAGGATATTACGAGGTAGGGGAAGAAAGGGGGAGAAAGGTGAAGCAGTCAGAGGAAAGGAGGCGGTAGAAAGGAGAGGAGAAGGTAGGTGAGAAAAGTGGGAGGTTGGGGTGAAAAGGAAGTAAAGACGGAATGATGAAGGTAGGAAAATAAAGAAGTAGAGAAGGAAAGTGGGGACAGGGATGGAAACAAGGAGGTAAACAAGAAAATGTGGAAGCTGACCAGGTAAGAAGAAGCAGGAAAGGAAAAAGAAAAGAGAAAAGGGATGGAGATGACGAGACAGGAGGAAAGGGGGAGATAAGTATGAGTGATAAGTAAGGAAAGGAGAAGATGGTTAAGGAAAGGAGGAGGTAGGTGAGGAGAGGCGGAGGTAGAGAAGATATGGGGAACATAGGGAAATGAAGTAGGAAGTAAAAGGAAAGGAGACAGAGTAAAGGGAAGTGGGGGCAGGGAAGAAGACAATGAGGCTGACAAGGAAAGACAAAGTAGGAAAGGAAAGAAAAGGATAGAAAAGGGAAGGAGAGAAAGGGGTAGGAGAGGAAAGGGCTGGGACAGTTAGGAGGTATGGCAGTCAAAAGGAGGATGACAAAGAAAGGCGGGGGTAGCGAAGGAAAAGAGAGGGTGAAGAAGGAAAGGTGAATGTATTAAAGAAGGAAGGAGATGAAGAGGTAGGGGAGTGAAGGGGGGGTAGGTAATACAGGAGATATGGTAGTCAAAGAGGAGGTTAAGAAGGAAAGGACAAGGTAGTGAAATAAAGAAGGAAGTAGAGAAGGGAGCTGGATGTCCTGCGTCACTGTCTGATGTCCACCTTGACCTCCTCTCTCTGTGGACCTTTCTATAACATCACCTGACTTTCTCCTTTGAACCTGACGGACATGATTCCCACAGCTGTTTAAAAGCCTTAACATTTACCTGAGCATAAACATATGTCTTGAGAGGAAAGTCTCAGTTAATTAAAAGAATAAGAACATAAATTGAAGTGAATTCTGCGTAGAAGAAATTTTTTTTTGCCCGCCGCCAGATCTCTCTGACGACTTTGGGAATGCCCGATGTCAGTGGAAGTCCTGACAAAGTATAGAGGTCCACCCAAAGTGTGTACGTGACCGAGTGTTGGAGCAGAATGGAAACCAGGACTGAACAGCTCATCAGGAGCTACTGTACTTGACATACATGTGTGTGTGTGTGTGTGTGTGTGTGTGTGTGTGTGAGTGAGAGAGAGAGAGAGAGAGGGACTGAGTGGATGACAGCTTTTGATAAGGATGGAAAACAGAGCTGGATTTTCCTTTGATGTGGACAGACAAACATACACACACACTCACACACTAACGCACACTTCAGAAATCAGATTTGGGAGCTGTGAAGAATAAATGCATGAAGGGTTGAAAAACGAGGCCTGTCTAATCATTCAATTAGGATCCAAGGCAGATGGTCTGGACACACACACACACACACACACACACACACACACAGACGCAGACCTGTTACACTCACACTTTGTCAGTCTTGCTCTCTACGAAGTCTCCGTGTAATCCTATAATCAATCTCTCTGGCTCTCTCAGTGTAACTTTATACTCAATCGCCCCGTTTCTTAGTGTTAATGAGACATTATTATCGGCCTGCACTTCATTACCTGGACATCCCATAATCATCTGACTGCATACATGGATATAGCAACACAATATCAGTGACCGTCTTTCTGTGTGTGTCTTTCTCTATTAATATCAGCTACAGTATGTTGGCCTCCCTACAGGGACCCCTGTCTTTAACACTATGTCCCTGGTTTGAGTCTATATGGGGGAGGGGCCCTCACTGAAACCCATCCCCTCTCTCTTACTTTTTTAACACCAAAATTGGTGCCTCTAGTTTTTTTAAACACCGGAAAACCCGCTAAAGATTGGCAACAGACTCCTTTGCCATTGCCAGACTAAAGCCGAGATGCTTATGTTGTTGTTTTTTCTTTACTGGAGGGCCACATTTGGCATCATGAGCATGCCAGAAAACAGGTTGGTAAACAGTAATAAGCAGCATGGAGTCCAGTGAAATTTTTACTGTGGTTATTTCATTTGAGATTTATTACTTAAACCTCTCCCACTGTGCGAAACACTAACACCTGCTAAAACCTGGCTTTTGTATTTAATGGGAAAGGCTAAAATTGGCATTCACACACAGGACAAATAACTCTACAGTAGTCACAGGTCTTCATTGGCTCCAGCTCTGATCAGCAGTGACGGAAAAACAACACTTGGATGGACACGCTAATTTTAGTCCCTTTACCAGTGAGATGCAATGTTGTGCTGCCACAAAATACCATTAGTCTCTGCCTGAGCAGCACTAAAACATCGACCGAAATTTAGTCTGCACTGAGTTTTTACATTACATTTTTACATTTGCTTCCATGCTGCTTTCTGCTGATTACTAACCTGTTTTCCCGACTTCGAATGTGAGACACAGGTATAAAAAGAGAAAAAGAAAAAAAAAACAGAAAGGCATACTCATCTGCTGCAGAGATGTGTACATGGCTCTGGTCTACTGGCAATGAGAAAGCAATCTATTGCCTATTTTAATCGGGGCATTCCCACATTTCAAATACCTGCATACATGCAATAATTTTGATGGTAAAGGGGTTTTATCCAGCCTCTCTTTAAAATTTGGTGCAGACTAATTTTGAACCATGTTCAAGTGCTGCTTGGACTGAGATGGATGGTATTTGGTGGTGATGTGTCATTACATCTTGCCTGAAAGGGGACAAAAATGAGGTGCATCCACCTGCGTGTTGTATTTACATTACTGCCCGTTGAAGCAGATTGGAGCTGGAGCCGATAAAACAGTGTGACTGCTACAGAGTCATTAATCCTAGGAATGAATGCCAATTGTAACCCTTCAATCTAAATACAAAAGCCAGATGTTAGTTAGTGTTATTGGGGTTTTGCCCTGTGGAATAGGGGCCTCTGTTACAATATCGATTTTTAAAGACTCCATGTTGATCAGAAGAGATTAATTCATTCATAAAGAAAGATAAACACAAATAAGAAGCGGTGATAACGTGTTCCAATGTATCAGAAATGCTTCCTTTATTGTGTCATCCTATCACGTCCTCTTGAATATTTCCACATAAATGTAGTTAATGGAAAGATGCATTTGATTTTTCAAAAAATGGAAACATAACTACACAAGTAGAGATATAGAGACTCAGTGGCATTTGTAAATCTGTGAGCCGAGAGCAGCCAAGTGTAAACACAATAGGCAATGCCGGCATGTGAGTGTACTGATCAGGCTGATTATAAGATTACAATCATGTCCTCCTGATCTATATGTAGCATAATATGTGCATCACACAAAGTCATAGGCTGTATTCCATTTTCTGGGCTGCAACACAGGTTGGCTTAATTTTCACTGATTTGTAACCAACATGTGAAATCATTGACAGGTATTATATTTAGCAGGTCAGTGGAAATTAAACACACCTGGGCTGCAGCCTAGGAAATGGAACAGAGGGTTGTTTTAAGGGGCGCTGCCAAGATGTGAACACGATTTTGGACTGACATAGCGATACAAATAAACATGACATAAATATCGGAGGCTTAGCCCCTATCTCCGTAGGGTTTTTAGTTTTTTTTAGATAAACAAGCTTCAGTCTGATTCCTTTTCAATGCACCTTATTTACATGCCAAGTACATATTTTAATCATTGAAAAAATGTAAGTGTGTACCTTGTTTACTTTCCAGATTAATTATGACTTGTAATGTAATAAATATGTACGCTCTGCCATAGATTGCACCAGGAATTAAAATTTTCTGTTGGCTGACATGAAAGTTAACGTCACCCTGGTTCCCTCAGTTTTGGATTTTTGCAGAAAATAAGCTCTGTAGCAAACAAACGTTTTGTTCAGCAAGATAATCTTCAACAATGAACGCATAAGTTTTGAAGTGTGACTGCAATCACCAGAGGTAAAAAAGTTAACGTTAGCCTATTAACCAACTACACTACCATTGCATGACTTCAACGTTGCCACCACAACAAGGTCCTATTAGTCATGTTCGGCTTGATGATGCTCTGTAGTCTCATTTTACCACTTGTCAGCAACCTTTTCTCAAAGAAGAAAACATTTTTTTCATGTTGAAACAGGTTTCTTTAGCTTGTGTTAACCACAGAACTTACTTCATGCATCTCAACAAAAACCCACTGACTTCAAGATGAGTAAACTGATTTTTCTGGGCTTTAGGTCTCATCCTGCACCACTCTATTGGAGTTTGGTGGCAGTGTTGTTGAAAGACACTGAGTAATGTAGGAAACCAGTGTATAAAGAGAGTCTTTGCACACTGTAGACTCCGAATGAACAGTCTATTTCTCTTTTTCTCTGTTTATGACCTTTCAATCTACAAGATCCTTCTCAGGTGACTTCCTTGTTGATTGAAACTGCCTTAAAAAGAGAAATAAACTATTTATTTGGATCCTGCAGTGTGCAGAGAGTTCATTTGTGCACTGCAGTGAAACATTTTTTGTCTTGCACCGGAGTATTTTTGCCTGGATGTGCACACACTTGGTCCCTCTTCTAATTTAGAAAGCCACTCACTGAAGTAGAAGGAAACTGTAAAGCTGGAGGGAAAGTTGGTTGACTGAAACATTACATATTATTATATCTTTAAGGGATTATGAGTGGATTCTTGTTGTTTATCATGACAGATTATTAGTTATGCATTGAACTTTCCTCTCTCTGTGTCTGCAGCTGGTATACTGGGCCAGTCAGCAGCAGGATCAGGATGAGAAGATGGCTGGCTGTGTGTTTCCAATGGGACCAGAGAGCTTTCAGCGCTTCACGCCGGACTCCCTGGCGGGCATCGAGCAGCGCATTGCCCAGGAGCGGGCCCGACGCAACAAACAATACCAGGAGGTATACACACACACACACACACACACACACACACACACACACCTGACAAACACAACCAGGAAGCATTATTAATGTTATTATTATCAAAACAAGATAAAACAGAAACCAGAGGATGAAATATTGGAGGTTAAATCTGAACATGTGAGGCAGCTTCAGCAGGCAGATGTGAGGTGTGTTTCGGAGGTGGTGATGTTGTGTATGTTTGTGTGTGTGTGTGTGTGTGTGTGTGTGTGTGTGTGTGTGTCAGGACCTGGGCGACGTGGAGCTCCCCCGGCCCCGGCCCGACCTGGAGGCAGGAAAACAGCTGCCGCGCATCTTCGCCGACATCCCGTCTCATCTGGTGGGTGTTCCCCTGGAGGACATCGACCAGTACTACTTCAAAGACAAGAGGGTAGGTGACCCAGAGACTGTGTGTGTGTGTGTGTGTGTTTCTGTGTGTGTTACTGTGTATGTTTGTGGGTGAAGGTGTTTAGAAATACCCCGTCTCTCCTGTTGGAGAATCCCTGGAAGACAAATTGACTCTCTGTTAGCCTACTTCACTGGCTACCAGTGGGGAGGTGGCCGAGTAAGTGTGTCCCCTCTCTCACAGTATGTCCTCCTTTTTAAACTCTCAGACCTTGTTTACACCTGGTCCATGTGATCATGTCTGTCACACTCAGTCTCTTTCCTGTTTCAGGGTGGCTTCAAACCTGTCTAGTATAGCCCTGCGGAATTTTAGTTTTTGACCATGGAATGATGATAGCAGATCTTAACACAGATACTGTATTTAAGTGCGGACCAAAACAGCCACACTGAGACCCTTTAGAGCACTGTTTCTCAAAGAAAGGCCCACTGGGCAATGGCTGCCCTCACAAACATTTTGTGTGGCCCCCAGTGTGACATAAAGTGCACGTATATCCGAATAATCCATTTCAGTACTTTTATTTAAAATATCTATACGTTTAGTAAACCACTCAGCTTGTCAAACTGCACCCCCTTAACAAGCATCTGTCAGGTTAGGAATGATAACTTGTAGAAAGCTGCTGGTTGAATGGCAACTAGTGGCACTTTGCCAGTGGTATGGTAATGAGGTTGTTATCAGAGCCAATGCCATTAGCAAAAGTTAGCGGTTATGATGGACAACTTGAGTATGGAAGTGAGATGGCGAACATGGTTGAGGGGTAGGGATGTCAATTTTGGTTAGTTTTGCTTTGATAGCTCGACATCTTTTAAGGGATAACTAGACGGCTAATTTTTTTTTTTGAAAAAAAAAAAAAAAACCCACACAAAATGATGTAAATACAGGAGGCCTTTTCTCTCAGTCCACATAGCAATAGCATTGCATTAGGAGGCGCTATCCATTTAGAGGTGGTGAAATTCTAATGTTCAGTGATTTAAAAGTATTGCAATTTGCCTCACAGGGCTTTACAGCATACGACATCCCTCTGTCCTTATGACCCTCGCAGCGGATAAGGAAAAACTCCCCCAGCAGCAGGAGGCATCTGGCAGGACCACGGCAGCAGCACAACCACACACGTCACGCTGTCCAGGCACCGCTGCGTTATGAGTTAATCTGAGAGACAGTGGAGCACAAAGGCTCCGGAGAAGAAGCCGAGTTAGTGACATCCAGAATGGCCGAGTTAGCAAGATGCAGTAATAGAATACGAGAGAGAGAGAGAGAGAGAGAGAGAGAGAGAGAGAGAGAAGGAGAGAAGGTGCCCGGTGTATTATAGGGGGGGTCCTCCGGCAGACTAGGCCTAAGTCAACCTAACTAGGGGCCTTTTGTGTGTCTGCTACTTGCAACAATGCACCTTGACTGGAAGTCATCTCAAGTTTTTATTTAGTTAAAAATATATCTATGTTTCACTATTGTCTGAGGCCCATTTAAACGTCACATTTCACCACCCCATTATATCCCCCGTGTGCACCACAGTGCGCAGAAAGCTAGCATAGTGTCAGCGTACTAAGCTACATAACACCGTAGGCCTACCCCAGCTAGAAAAAAACATATTGAGATGCTTATTCACTAAGGCAACTTGGGGGGTGACCAGGGGTCAGGCACAATTTTTCCACAGCACAGCTGTTGGGTCAGGACAGGGTTATTAGCAGTAATAGCTGAATGACCAGCACTGCCAGCTAGCTCCCACCTGACCTTTTTGGGGTGCAGTCCAGAGTGGCCAAGGCTGTCCAACCAGCGGAGACCGTAGGGTTGACAGTAGGCACTGTATTTCAGCATATTTCAGCCAGCTGTCTGTCTTTTACAAGACCCTGGTTGTGCGCAGTGGAGTTACTGGAGAGTATCAAAATTAACATATAGGACTAACATGCGTAACTACACAATTATTCCTGGTGGTTAACTGATTAGCCATTTAACAGTTAACTGTTGACATTACTACTGAGAAGCAAAGAAGGTTTCAGTAAAAATGGATCAACTCTTACTCTGTCAGACCTCGAGGGACAGTTAAAGTAATTTGCCTCTTCTGCAGTCAGGTGATTTTGGTGCTTCAGTAACCTGATGTTAAATGCCATTATGAGAACAATCACAAATCCTCTGACAACTGCCAGTCAAATTTTGTGAAAAGTAGTGAAGCTGTAAAACAGAGTAGCTTTGTGGTATCTCATGAAATTGCTAAGTGAAGTAGAGAGACATACTGGGGGTCAACTTTGTCAAAGTGGCCGACATCATGTGTCCTTAACCTCTGCGGCCCTCAATCATGACTTAAAATTACTTAAATAGGCACCTAGTCATCAAATCTTTTAGAACCCCTGCTTTAGTGGAAGTGGTGTTGGTCTGGTCACAAACTATTGTGTGGTGGTTTGTTTGTGTTGATCCAAGCTTGATTCAACCAAACTAAAAAACATACTCTGAGAGTTTGAACTTAATCTCCCAAATTGTGCTTTGCATGCTGGGATGTGGTTGAGAGAAATCTGGACCTGAAAACTGGACTAGCAAAGAAGTGCATTGCCTTCTTGATGTTTAGGCAAATGACTACATGTCTCAGCTTATACATACAACACATAAAAACAGTGAAATGTTGAAAGCAGCTGCAGGTGAGAGAATTAGACCGGCCTGCTGAAGAGTGCCCTGTTAAATAAAATAACTGTGGGGCAGCAGTACATACAGGTTTTTCTACTTGTGTTTACTTCCTCGTTCCTGCCCCCCAGACAAAAGAAACCAAAGCAAAAGGAAAAAGTAACAAGTTTACCAACTCATCCACTGATTCAGAACCAGAGCGAATAAATGGAAGGTTTGAAAACACCCTTCGTCTCCTCTCACTGCAATTCTGTTTCTGTCTTTCTCTATGGTGACTTTTCTCCTGAGGGAATTTCTTCACCCTTTTTCTTTCCATCTCTCTCCCCCGTGTTTCCTTTTTCTCTTTGCTCTCTCTTAAGCTCAGGTGTGTTTCCTCTGGGTTTTAACCAAGCATCTAGGACACACACATATCCATGATGTGTGTGTTGGTTGGCATGCAGGAACAAACAAAACACACTCTGCACCTCTGAGCCTGTGTTCATGTTCTGTTATGCTAATTAAACGATTTAACTAACTTTCTCTGAGTTTGAAAGGGTTAAGGGTCATGGCAGGGTTTTAGATTTTTTTTCTGAAACTAAACAATAACACCAACATTAATTATATTATTATTGTGGTACAGTGTCCTTAAGCAGGGCAGGTCAGGCTACTCCTCATCTGCTGCTGTGCCCTGGCGTCTGGCAAAGTTCACCTCAGGGCTGAACACCCTGGGGTCCCACAGTCCATCATTAGCATGGACTGAAAGGGTGAGGAAGTGGAGCTGAGATGCTGATATGGCTGTAGATTCGATGTAAGATGTTATTTCCACACAAGCTTTGCCAGAGTTAGGTCATCAGGAACGGCAGTAGTTTCTTCCTGATTGTCAGGATATTAGTGCGCTCAGCCAGCTGGTCCTTTATTAGCTCATCCTCCAGTGCCCCAAACTTGCAGAGGCAACCCAGGCCCGCAGGTGTGAGACCTAATAATGGACTGAGGCGGCAAGAATCCACCGACACATGACAGTTGGTTGTGGATGGCTCTAGCTAGCATCTGTTAGTCCAACAGCTGCTATGAATGTTTCAAACAATTCATTCTTAGTGGCCCACCAACAAAAAACTCGACCATGAATGGGCTGGTCTGCCTAAAAGGAGCTGATGGTGAAGTGCTGATCTCTTGCTGGCTTGATATTGCATTTCCTGGCCAAGTGGCAACCTCCTGGCTCAAAAATGAAGCCAACGGAGATGTGCCAAAAACTGCAGTTCCTCTAAAGGCCACTTGAGGCTGGCTCCAAGAAGGAGTCAGTCCCCATGTACCCCATGCTAAAATGCCCAACTTTACAGCAGAAATAAACATGTTTACATGTTTACATTTACAGCCTGGTACAAAAACCAGTTTTTGCCTCTTTAGCTAATTTTCCTATTCATGATAACTGTATGGCGGGGGTGATTTTTTTTAAATAACTCACCCATTTAGGTTTAAAGTGTTGAGTTTGAGTTATAGGTGGGTGCCATCATTGACAAATCGCTACACATAGTGACAATGTTGGTTAGGTAACGTAACCATGGCATAACCCCAAAATCACAGAGTATAGGTGTGACTCTGTCACTATTTCAATGTGTTTTCAGTTCAGTGAAAGTTAATTGCTATGTTTTGGTCGCCTAAAAATGACTTGTTCAGTGTTTGGTTGTACTAAAAGACCCTCTTAGGAGTCAGATGTTCCGTTGTTCTTGTAAGTACATTTTATTTTAATGGATTTAAGTCTGTTTTTCACTAGTGAAAAATAGCATGAGCATTATTTCAGTTAAACATAGTAGGGGTGACCCTGAACAGTCTATGATTTGGTGATTCGATTCAGAGAAGTCTGATTCGACTGCCAGTCTCGCTGTGGAATCGTCGCAAAATGTGGTTATGAAACAAGACCGTACCATTCTGACTATATGGGGGTGCTCACTGCTGCTGAACATCTTGATTTAACATATAATGTTTTTGTTTTCTAGTAATTCATGATATATAGCTGTGTTTGATACAAACATCAGCTTAATTTCTGTTAATAAAAAATGGAAAATGCCTACACTGCTAACAAACACAAACAGCAACAATACAAATAATAAAATAACCAGCTCTTACCTTCAGTAGAGTTGCAGTCTCCTCTTTCCTGACGAGTGGAACCTCCTTAACAGCATCTCCTTCCATTGCTGCGTTGTACCAATTAGCCGAAAACGACCGTTTACAGTCATTATTATGCTGTTGTTTCTTTGGAAACTGCTTGAGACGAACTTGAACTGGCTTGTCGACTCTGAGGTCCTCTGGTAAACCACACTACTGCTGCAAGTGCGATGACGGGCTCTCCGCTCCCGGTGAACCCGGCTCAGAGGCTATGGGCGGCGGCGCGGGCGGTTCACTCTCCTCGCTGCTCGGCTGAAGTTCCCGCTGCTCCGACATACTTGGCCTCGGCAGGTGCTCCTCAGCTTCTCTGGTGCTCCTGCTGCTGCCGCCAGGCTGCAGGGATGCCGACGGTGTAGTTTCTGGCTTTTTCAGCCATTTGCGAATGTCCATCCTGAATGAAAATATAGCTGCTAGCTTACGCTTGAAAATCTGTTGTTCCTCGTTTGTTTGTTTTTTTCTCCTTGCAGCGGGATGATGCACTGATGACGTAATGTAAACTGTGTAAAAACAATAAAAAAATGAAAAAATAAATAAATAATAATTTAAAAAAAATGAAAATACTATGTTTTGACTGAGCGGGCGGGACAGTCTGCGTGAGGGGGCCACGCCCCCTCACGCCCCCTCTTGACGCCGGGACTGAGCGCATAAACAAACACTTAGGAGGAGGTATGTGCTCTCAAATCAAACTTTTTTGAAGGATTATTCGTTTACCTGAAGTGTTTTGAAATGAATTTCACCGCTGATTGTTTTCTTGATAGACTCTGATTATTTGTTTGGATACTTTTTTTCCGACATGGCCAAACAATTGAGAGTTGATTAATGAAGTAACTTGAAGTCAGAAAGAAGGAAAACTGTTTCTAAACCTTTTGATGATGTTTTTGGATGTTTATTTGTGAATGAAATGGCAAGTTCTGAGGAGTCAGAAACGACTCCTGTTAAAGACATGGATGAGGCTGCAGCGCTCATCTAGAGCATCATACCTTGATGAAGTGAAAGGAATAAAGATAAAGATAAAATGATAAGCCTTTAACCTTTATTATTATTATCTTATTATGCCAAATGAAGAATTAAATTTGTTTATTTGGGTTTTAGCTCTTTTCTCTGGAGCGGAAACTGACGCAAATGAGCTCATTAATCAATGAGGGGGAAAACAACATGATTCGACGGCTAAAGGAAAAATCTGTCAAATCAGATTCGACTATGAAAATTCTTAGTCGGGGACACCCCTAAAACATAGCTGTAAATGCACCGTGATAACCAAGGTAGCAGTTAGCATTAAGGTTAGCTCCACCCCATCCTCCAAATATGGCCACTTCTGGCTCCAAAAATCAAATGCCAAACTTGAGGCTTCAAAACCATAGATTTTAATAATACCTAGATATCGGACCCCAAAGTGGCGCAGATTCATTCCAATGAAGTTGCTCACTTGGTGCATATGCCAAAAAGTTTTCTAGCTTCCGGGTTCCTTTTCACAGCTTGAGCAAAGTTTTACAAATATAAAACCATAATGGATCAAAATTTTAGAATAGAACGATTCATAATTGAGCTTGTTTGCAGTTCAAGGTGTCCTGTCAACAGTTTTACAGATATCTCTTTTTTGCTGCAGTACTGCAAGCAATCACTGGCTAAAACTGGCTGCAAGGTAAAGCAGCGTTCCTGAGGGTCTGTTAAAAATGGTAGTTCACAAGCCAGTGGGAGACGTCATGGTGCATCAGTTACTTTATAGTCTATTTTTGTGGCTGAAAATTCCACATTTAAGTATTACATGTTTCAGGTTTTTAGTTTGAATCCTTTGAAATTCATTTTGAGAGACATGGAGACAGAATTGTTAGGGTGTTGATGCTTAAACTGATAATTTGGAGGCGTGGCTTGACTGCACTTTGTTCCTTTGGGTATTATAAATTGTAGTATTGTCTATTCTTCTATTTGGTTTCTGTTAACAATGAATTGTTTTTATTATCTTCTGCTGCTACCTATCTTGGCCAGGACTCCCTTGAAAAAGAATTTTTTAATTTCAATGGGACCTGTTCTAAAGGTTAAATAAAATACAATAAATCAACACTGTGGATATTGGACAGAAGTGGTAATTAATGTTATTTAATAACATTGGCTAATTAGCCCAAACATCTCTGCTTTCTCTGTCAGTGTAAATGTGGTCAATTTCATTCTGCTACTGTGAAATGGCAGCGTTGCTTGAGAAAATAAAAAATCAGGCGTTGGATTCATCTCCATACTGAATGTATTTTTCTGCCTCTCTTGCAGACCTTCATAGTCCTGAACAAAGGGAAGGCCATCTTCCGTTTCAGTGCCACATCAGCTCTCTACATCTTCAGCCCTTTCCACCCCATCCGCAGAATCGCCATCAAGATCCTGGTCCACTCATATCCTTACACTGCTGCCGCTACTGTATGTACTCCACGTCACGTCTTGACAGTGTTATGATCTGTTGCTGACTGTGGGGGAATGACTGCAGGGAGGTCAGAGGTCAGATGCAGAGCAGCCTGCAGGGCTTCAGTGTGTGTTGAAGGACGCAGTGTGTGAGCAGCCGGGCCACCCTGACGGCAATGTGGGTGATCATATAAACAAATAGACGCAGCCTGGGTGGTTCATCACTGCAGGCAGCTGAGGCCTCGTCACAGCTTCACTGCCTCAGTCTTTGCAGCAGTTTATGTTGTTTTTTACTACATTTAAATGTTATGTTACTTGCACTTTACTTGAGTATGCCAATTTTCTGCCTCTTCATACTTGTACTTTATTACATCTCAGAGGGAAATATCATACTTTCTATTGCACTACTTTTGTTTGATACCTATAGTTAGTTATACATAAAAAAACATGATGCAGCACTATACTGCTAATCTAACCAGTGATATACAAAGTATCTAAAACTGGCTACACATTGATGAACTCCAACATTAAAATGCTCTTACATGTATTCATTGTTGATAAAAACAGAGTAATTTAATTATCTATAATAATACAACACTGTAAAAGGAGACATTTTGCACAATGACTTCTTTTACTTTTGAAAATTTAGTTACATTTTGCTGATGATACTTCTGTACTTTTACGTTTTTTTGTGCGTGACTTCCGGTCAGCCGCTTTCCCTCACGCTTTCCCTTACCGTAGATAACGGTGCAAGCTAATTTTTTTTCAATTTTCAGTTGTTTATGTTAGTCAATCAGTTAGTTAGTTAGTTAGTTAGTTAGTCTGTGTATTTTGTATAACGTTAGATAACTGTGCCCACGTTTCCGTTATAACGGAAATTTATTCCCTCTAAACGCGAATAAATCGCACGTCAATCATAAACTATGAACCAAAAAAGCACAATCTATCCCGAGTGAGACAAACTGCTTGATCCCCGTCTCCAGTGTACCAGCAGAGAACCTGCAGAACTGAATCAGCGAAAAAACACACCGGGCTACACAGCCTCTTTACGTGAGCAGCTGAAGCTGCGGCTCGCACCCTCGACACACAGACACACAGACGGTGCTTCTGCATGCCAGCCACACGTGTGCGCAACTGTGAGAAATAATATGTGAGGTGTACGCTGCTTTTCTATCTTTTTTTCCCTTTTCTTTCTTTCTTTCTGTCAGCGACATACACTCCTAACACAGGACGGGTTGTTTTAATTGACTGAGTTGATCATTAAGCCATAGTGATGCGCGGATCGGCTCTGATAGCACTTGAATCAGCATGTACGCATCAACCATCCAGCCGTTACAACATGATTGAGCTAGCAAAGCAGTTTTGTGTTGCTATGTGTGGTATTTATTCAGTTTTGGGAAATCACGATGTCTAGAAAGCATCCGTGGCTGCAGCTGACAGGGACAGCTAACTTTAACACTAGCAGCAAAGCTAACATCAGGATCGTCATCCGTTAAAAGCCTCCCGTTGTCGGATACAACATGAAACTACTCCAATTAGCTCAATCATGTTGTAACTAAGACATCCGCTGGAGAAAATATTTTTTTCACGGGCCACTTTGTGAGTTTAGTGAGTTATTACAGACACGGCTAATGGCTAACAGCTAACGGTTAGCCCAGCTAATCTACGATAACCATGTTATTAATTACACACAGAGAAAATACTAATGTTTGTTCAGTCATTGTGTTTATAGACTTTACAAACATCAGATTAGTCTAAACGGTGATATAGTGACGTGTAAATGTGATATATACATATATATAGCTAAATTCAGCAAGGTAAACAACAAGGGTATTCCCATTTACACAGTGGTAAGAGTGCTGGACCGGAAGTGTCTTACAAAAAAACGGAAGCTGGCTGCGTTCTGTTTTGCCTCCGTGTTTCCGTGAAAAATAAGGTGGATAAGTAAAGGATCCGAGCACTACTTCCACCACTGCTGTGCACATAAAAATCAGTTTCATAATAATAGTTAGCACAGATGAGGATGGGGGGACATGGCCCTTTAACTTTTATTGTTTAAGGTTGATTTTCTGACTAAAGTTTCTCTGAACATTGTTTTCATTGTAAATTGTGTCATTTGACCCAAACTAAGGAGTAAATGTCAGGATATCTTTCTTTTAGAGCTTTACCAGTTCATTTATTCATCAATTAGTTGATCTACATAAAAATTAAAATGAACTATATTGATAATCAGTTAATCATTCTTTTTTTTTTTTCTTGCAAAAAACCCCAACAGTTGTTGGTTTTGGTTTCTCACAGGGTAGATGAGAATTTGAATCTTTTTTTAATCATATCTGAGGGTAGGCTGAATATCTTTGGGATTTTGGACTGCTGGTTTAATGAAAGGAGCAATTTGGATTAATATTTTTTAAGTGCATTCTTCACAATTTTAATGATTTACCGGCTTAATCCATTAATCAAGAAAATAAAGATGTAAATGAAAATAATTGCTAGTAGAGGCCATATTTTATTATTATTATTGTTATTATTATTATTATTTGGGTCTTAACGTCCTGGTGCAACATTAAATCACTGGAGTGTCCCTTTTGAAAATTTAGTTAGGGAAATAAACATAATAACCTACTTTTTAATTATAATTTTTAATTTTACAAGTATTAGTTGTTCAGCAAGGTAGTAGCTCTGTGTGTGTGTGTGTGTGTGTGTGTGTGTGTGTGAGATTATACACAATCACCCTTTACATGTCTGTGTGTATATGGATGTGGCTTGACAGTGATAGGGTTTAAAGTTGTATTGATACTCGGCATGTTCTTATGTAAACAGTTTAGGGGTTTAGGGGCTCTGTGCTGACAGGTTAGCATACACAGTCATGATTGATAGGCTTTACGCTAACTTCTTAGCTTTTACTATGTTGAGTGATAAATGTTATCCTAATTGTGTAGGTTATTTGGTGTTGAGGGACAGGCTTTGTGCTAACTGTTTAATGTATACCATCTTAGGTGAAAAGCTTTACCCCTTTAGCTTATACCCTACTACTGTATGTTGAGTTAAAGGCTTTACATTACCTGTTTAGCTTATATTCAATTATATTAAAGGCTTTACACTAACTGTTTTGCTTATATAATGTTGAGTGATATGCTTTATGCTAACTGTTTAACTTATCCTATGTTGAGTTAAAGGCTTTGCACTAACTGTTTAGCTTATAAAATGCTGAGCGAATTGCTTTACGCTAGCTGTTAAGCTTATACAATGTTGAGTGATGCTAACATGGTTTCACTGCAAAGCAAAGCTTTATTATACTCTTATTCACAAAACAGCCAAATCTTAAAACAGCAAAGAAATATAATGGATTTAATTAGTTTGATTTATATTGACTGATATATATATCTGCTCTGGTAATTACAGAATTTTTTAATGCATTTTGTGCAGTTTTACACAGTTATTAATGGTTTATTAATGTAAATCAACCAATTACATATAAGTGCATTAAATTAACTCTGATTGTCTCCATTTGCATTAATAGTACTCACTGAATCTTTGCTTTAATGGTAAAGTTAATTAATATACTGACTAATAATGGGTTGTAAGGTAGGTAATAGGTAAGTATTAAGGTAGTTAATTTTTCATCACTACACAAGGTAAGCAGCAAAAGATGAAAAAGATTTCTAAGGTTGTGTGGAAAAAAATAATGCAAAATTAACATATTTTCTTCCTTTATTGATAATCCCCATTAAACAATGTGCTTGACAAGGCTGAAGCTTGTTTTCAGAAATCTGAGAGGGTTTTCTAAAGAGTTTATTTGGCATAGGAAGTAGGAGAATTTTCACAGCACATAAAGGAACAATTTAGCCTTAAGTTTATCACAAACATTCAACATCAACACATCTGGAGATACATGGTTTTCACTGGACAGGAAGGAGACACTGTCTGAAAAGTAACTAAAGCTGTCAGACAAATGTAGTGCAGTAAAAAGTATATTTCCCACTGAGATGTAGGGGAGTAGAAGTATAAAGTTTCATAAAATGGTCATACTCAAGTAAAATACAATACCTACTTAGTGACATTGCACTACTGTATAATCACCATGTGGCTGCATTAAATTGTCAGGAATGTCTTTGTATCCTGAATCATCTCTGAGATGAGTTTACACCGGGACCTACAGCTGGATGCTGCCCAGGCACACATATGAGAGAATGAGTGTGTATTTACCAATCATGTCAACTGACTCTGTGTATTTGTGTGTGTGCGTGTGTGTGTGAATCAGATGGCTCATTCTGTGGGTTGTATTTCTGAGCCAGATATCATCTTGAGCTGTCTGGCAAGCTATAAACATGACCAGTAAATATTTCCCATCAAGGTGGTCTCTGCTCTCTCTCTCTCTCTCTCTCTCTCTCTCTCTCTCTCTCTCACACACACACACACACACACACACACACACACAGGTGATTATTCACACACAGATTGTTACAGTAATTGTCTGGATCTTGGGGTCTGCTATTTGCTGCAAATTACCTTTCAGGGGTATATGATGTCATTGATTCATAGTAATAATATTAATTTGAAAAAACCCTCAAAATTGGTGGAATATATAATATTTTTTAAGTATTGTTTTGAGATTGGACACACCTTTTTTACCAAAAATATTTCACCTGACAAATTTTGATTAGATAACTGAAACTTGTGGTTTGGACTCAGAGTGGCTTTACTCTGGATGAAAGTTGTTTTTACTTAAACTTATTATTATGAAGCAAATGTTGATTGCAAAATGTAATTGCTATAGAATAATGACACTGTCTGCATTTAGATTGGTCCCCTATAAGCCTCACTTTCGTTATACGGTTCTGTCTGCCACCAGGTACGATGCCCTGGGAAAATGAAAGCTGGTGTTTTCCTTAATACTGCTCAGCGCTGAGGGGCCTCTAACTACAATGGCCGACGCATGAATGTAAATAACCCGTATCTTAAGCCAGTGTTTGATTTGTCCGTTCTGGGCTAC